GTTAAGAATGTTGCTGATGGCTTGACGTTTGAAGAAACTAAGGAGATGAGAAATAGAGGACTTCATTCTCCTGCTTTGATGAAACTTAGTAAGTGATCCTAGAGGAACTGTCATTGTTCTCAGTGTCACATCAATGGTTAAAAATGATTACTAGTGTTAATGGAAACTAAGTAAATCTTGGTCTTATTATGTTCAGCAAGGAATGGTGTGTATGTAAATGTAGTGGCAAGAGTCAGGGAGGCCTTTGAGACTGAAGAGGTTGTGAGACTAGACTGCAGCCATGTGGGCATGAGTGACTGCAAAAGGATAGGCGTGAAGCTAAGAGTATAGCCCCTCTACAAACTTAACGAATATATGCCAGTACCTTTTATGAGAAGTTCTATTTTGGTTTAAGTTCTAAACTAATGGTCATGTTTTTGTTTCATTTTTCTACAAATGCAGGACTTGGTACCATGTGTCCCTATTTTATTCAAGGATGAACAGATTATACCATGGAGGAGAAAGAAACATCACCAACAAAAATCAGACCACCTTCAGATGCCAAACTGAAACCTTTGGACACTTGAATGGGGTTTCGAGAAAGAGAAGACAGGAACTGCAGCACGGCATTCCAATCAATCTTTGGACTCCAGGCAAAAGAGCGCTACCTGATCTGCTGCTGAGTTCTTTCTGATCCATTGCTTGTTAATTCTGCAGCACGGATTTAACTTTTAAGAAGTGTTTTTTGGGAGAAGGTGACCAAACTGGCCCAACGTTTCTTCTGTTAGCCCTTGATCTATAGGCTCTAGCTTCCCCAGATGTTTTCATGACATAAAAGGAATCTTACTTGTACTCTCTATCATGGTGTCTTTCTGCAATCAATCTAAATTTTCCCAAAAACGTACAAGAGAGCTTGATTTCATCAATGACTATCAATTACCAAATACATGAAGAGGCCAATCATTCCATTGGTTCAAGCAGCTACTACATATTTTACATGACCATCGCACGGTTTCCGTTTTGAATTTACAGGATAGAAAATTTGCTGTAAAACTCAAGATATAACTACTTCACGGTTCCAACAGAATCTCGCTTAGATTGTGATTCTTCTTGACAGGGCATCCAGAGCTGATCAAAGAGGTTATCCACACCTCGTCAGACTTCACTGGCTCATCATCATCGTTACGATGCCAGCTCCAAAATGCATGGGTTGAATTCACTATCTTGAGCTCACCATGACCAAAGCTTGCTTCACGGAAGACTGACCACTCTGGTGGGGGGTTTTTATACCTGCGATTCAATATATGGACTTGTGTAATTGAAGCTTAAAATATAGTCACATAAATGTTTACTTGCAAAAGACACAAATGTTGTACTTAATATTAGATTGTTGGAGGTTTTCTTCAGAAGAGGACATACTTGTGGGCTAAACCTTCTCTGTTTCCTCCATCTCCAATAGTTATATGGACAGGACCACAAGGATCTGATATCCCATTGTAAATGCGTTTCTGTGGTACAGAAAACGACCACCATGAACCATTTCAAAAATATTTAGAGAAAAAACAAAGCTAAAAAAGCTAAAAAACAAAGCTAAACTAGTGTCCACATACTGAGCGTTCATAAGCATGCACATGTCCAGCAATCACTATGTCAACATCAGCAGCATACAGCAGTGGTTCCATGGCTGCCATCATACCATCTCCTTCACCTTGATGAGCATAGTTACTGTTATACCATGGAACATGGAATAGCACTACTAACCAAGGTGTCCTATTGCGGTCCACCTTTAACAGGTCAGCCTACAGATAAAGAGTGACAATGAACTTGTATAATTAGACATGATGGAGCTTCCATTAATTATAATGACACTTCACAATAAGAGTTGTAATCATTCTATTATGTTCAAGGTCTAAACACTCATGTAAGTGAAAATGAAAGCCAATGCATGGAACATAAACCCTGGCAAAATTTCTAACTAAGCAACACAGCTTTCACATGTATCATGGCTAATGACTGAGCACATGGTTCTAACAAACCAATGAAACATGGTTTAAACTAGCAGCCTATTAGCTTAATCAATACTTAAAGCTTGTATAAAAAAAAGTGCCCACAAGAAGAATAGGCAAAAAAATATATCAAATGAGAGAACCAGCAAACTGACCTTCAACCAACTATATTGGTCAGAATACTTATCATAATCAGTGTATGAGCCAAGCATGACAACATGGACCCCTGCAACTTCAAAAGAATAGTAGAGATTGGAGCTTGATCCACTCTCTTCAAATGGCATTTTCCATCTTGCATTATAGGACTGAAACGCATCCTCGAGTAGTGGTATCTTCTCCTCTTCATGGTTGCCTTCTGTTACCATCCATGGCCTGGCACTTGCAAGTGGCTGTACCAGCTCACCAAAAGTGTCCCAGTGATGCTGCTTGTAATCTGCATATGAAAGGTCCCCTGGCAGCAGATGCACATCATATTTGCATTTGTCAATATGGTCTAGTGTTGATTGAGTCCAGCCAGTTTGACCTAAATCACCAGCTACAGCAAAAGTAACTGGGAATTGAGCTGGAGGGGTTTTGAATTGAAATTCAGGACCTTGCCCTCCACATCGATAAAAGTAAACAGTATCATATTCCAGAGGCCCAATGACAGTGTGATGTATTTGTCCTGAGCTATAGAATAGGAAACTGTAAGATGTGCTCTCTCCACCAACAACCGAGCTGTATTGCCCAGGGGCTGCTCCATATTCAACTATTGATGGAGCAGACTTATCATCAGTAGTCCATGTGATTCGCATATGTTTCTCTCCTGCCAAAGATATGTGCACCTGCAATGGACATAGTTTAGCAAAAATTGAAAAAAAAAAAAAAAAAAAAAAAAACTACATTGTTATAAGAAACTATAACTCAGAAAAACAAATTTCCCATAAAACATGACTAAACTAGTTATAAACAATCTGATAAAATCAGGAAAGATGCTATTCATTTTTTTAATTCTTGCATGCCAAATTCAACTTTTACTTGATACCAGAAGACAAGGATGTCAACCATTTCTAAAAGCAAATCATATATACTAGAGATGTACGTCATCAAAATAAAATAGAAGCATAGTCTTTCCACCATGTTTTATACCATTTGTTCAAAGTTTGATAATTGCATGGCCATATGAGAAGCAAAATTTTTCTATTTCAGTAATACTGCAAGCTGCTGTCCTCTTCACTACAGCAAGAAATTAATGCTTCTAAAAGCACTTCAATAAAATAATCCTAACGCTCAGAATAGACAGGCTACCCTTTTCATAGAGTATTTGTTTCATTGGAAAATTTTCCAGGAAATATTCTCATTCCAAGCATCCCTAACTATCATGGAAGGTAGTTCATTAATCAATATAGGCATTGGTCAATCAATCATGAAGATTCAATTGGTTTCATGACCAACAAACTCTTAATGCTTAATAAAATTTACATTTCCTAGGAACAAAAGTCAGATCAGAACCACAAGTCAAAAACATCAAACCAAGGTTTCCAGTTTCAAGTTAAAATCTTTCTTTTCAAAACATGAAATCAAGTCATAAATTTCAACAAAACCTCTTCCTAGTCATCTCAAGTCACTCATTTGGAATAATAGATAAACCACCAACCCAAAACTTTCCCGGAAATTTTTGTGGAAACCAATCTCCTCAGAGAACATGCAGATTGCAGGGATGCAAAAGCAGGAACACCCAGATCAGATCAGAACAAAAGAAAA